TGTGTTCTATCAACAGCAGCAGGTTCTGAACACTGGTGTATTGTTGCTGAATTGTTGTTGTTGTTGTTGTTGTGTGGTTTTATTTGTTTACTTGGTCTCCAGCTTAGCTGGCATTTCTTGAATTTGTGTGTTGTAGTGGGTTTCTATCTCTTTCAGCTGATCCATATCGTTGACGGTAACGAAGTTGATGGCGATACCTTTACGCCCGAAACGTCCACTTCTACCGATCCTATGAATATAGTTTTCTTTAGATATAGGAATATCATAGTTAATAACCAAAGAAACCTGTTGCACATCAATACCTCTCGCTAATAAATCTGTTGTAATCAATACACGAGTTGAACCGCTACGAAACTCACGTAACACTGTCTCACGCTGCTGCTGCTCCATGTCACCGTGCATAGCTGAAACTGTGAAATCCTGACCCGTCATCATCTCCACCAGCTGCAGCACGCGTCTTCGCGTGTTGCAGTAAATAATAGCCTGTAAAAAAAAACAAAAATAAAACATAAATACCGAAAAAAATACAGCTCTCCCCGCGAAAAAACCACAGAAATTCAGCAGAAACCGCGCACAGCCGAGCTGCCTATACACCTGAAGTTGAATTTGCAAAAGAAAGCTGAATTGGGGTGTATACGCACCTGGGTGATGGTGAGTGTTTCATATAGATCAACGAGAGTATCGAATTTATTTTCTTCTCTTTGCACATCAATATAATATTGTGCAATACCCTCAAGTGTTAATTCATCTTTTTTTACGAGGATTCTTCTGGGTTTCCTCATGAATTGCGTGGTAAGCTCTAATATATCTGACGGCATGGTGGCACTGAAGAGAGCAACTTGAACATCTTGTGGGAGATGTTGAAACACAGAAAGTATTTGTGCTTTGAAACCCCGAGAAAGCATTTCATCGGCCTCATCCAGCACAAACAGCACCATATGGTCGCACCGTAGATGCCTCTTCTCCATCATATCATTCACACGCCCGGGGGTACCCACCACCACATGCACGCCCCCATGCAGCCGCTGTGCATCCTCGCGGACAGAGGTGCCCCCCACGCATGCATGACAAAGCACCTGAAGGTAGTCGCCGAGAGCCAGAGCCACCTGCAGCAACAACACCAGCAACAGCAGCAGCAGCAGCAGTAGAAATAAGTACACAGGTGCGGGGCGGGTCCGCCTGCTGCAGCAGAGAAACACAGCCCACGTGCATGCAGCAGCAGCAAAGCCCCAAACCAAAAGGAAGCTGGTGATGGGCTCCACGTTTTTCTCGTGAAGAGGAGCAGCAGCAGCAGCACAGATGCATGCACCAAGACAAGAAGAAGCAGCAGCAACAGCTGAATACAGCAACAAACGAAAAAACAGCGAGCCCCACACCTAGCAGCAGCAGCGTTGCTGCTGCTGGGAGCA